GTTCAGGAGATTGTCTTGACCAGGACCACACCCCTAAATGCCTTGAAGCAACTGCCATGTGATTGGTTGATTAGATAATTGCATTAATGAGAAATTGAACAGGTGTTCCTAATAATCCTTTAGGTGAGTGTATATATATGTATAAAAATGAGATGATGGAGGTCATGGGGGTCTTCCTGAGGCTCTAGCAAACACCCAAGCCTGTTTAACACAGAACATGAGTCTGGGAAGTCATTCACTGCACTAAGCATAATCATTACTATGATTAAAACCACACCTAGGTATAGTAGGGCACCAAAGCCACACCCCCAGCAAGATAAACATCATTAAAAAAAACACACACAAACAAAATATTGCCTCCAGCTCCGAACACCAAAAAGATCTGATCAACATGCAGAAACGCAGCTCATTGTGCGGCTCTGGTCCGTCATCTCCCCCCCGGGTACGTGCTTCAGGCAGACGGGGCACCTCAAGGCCAAAGCAAACGATCTCCGCCCATTATCCCGGGTCCCGCTCAGCGGCACGCCTACCTCCGAGGACGCCGCCGTAACAACCCCTCTTCTAAAGAGGCCGGGGATCACAGGATTTTTGTTTTTGTCATTTTTTTAAAAAAATTCATTACCGCCAACATTCCCGAGCAGACGGGTAACATGAAAAGGGCCAAGAACTGAGACAGGACCAGCCAGAAGCGGCAAAGCCGGACCCCCGCAGGGCAGAGGGGAGACCAGGCACTGGCAGACAGCCTCAGGCTTGGAGCCCAGGCCTCCGTCTCACGGCCCGCAAGCGGCTATCCTGCATGCATCTGTATTTTACCCACAATTCCATCCCTGGGAATAACAAGCTTTTCCACTGGAACAAGCTGTAACATCCACTGCCATCCTGCTCTGATCCTGCTTTTTATCACATTGTTTACACTGCCAACAGCTCCAGTATTTGGTGCAGATTAATTACACCTTTTTCTAAGGGTTTGGGGGGAGAGGGGGCAAGGAAGCACAGCCACTTTTCTCACGCTCACCCCCCCCCCCCACTGCAGCCCAAACACGCCATCCTCTTCTTTTTGTGCCACGTAAACAGATACAAAACAGAAAACAGTCCCAAACACACTAAATGGCTGTTTATTTGCCATAAAAAGGGTCCTTGTGCAGAACTCCATAACAAACTGGAATTAAACAACCTGGGAGAGCAAAAGCTAGACCCCCCCCCCCAAAGAGCAGATCTCCCATAATACCGTGCAGACAGCCACCAAAGCCATAAGCTCATGTTGTTTTCATAGAGAGCAGGGCTTCTAAACAATACAGCTCAATGGGGTGGAGGGGGGGTGGTTGGATTGTCAGATTAACTTAAAATGATCTAGTGCCACAATCAGGCACCCAGAGGCTTCCATCCATTTGCACGCCTTCCAACGGCCACGACGCCACAAATGAGCCTGCACTATATTTAAAAAATCTGACACTGCCCCCCAAAAAGCAGGAACAGCGCTGCCAGGAGTCCATGGCCTCGGCGGGAAACTAGAGGCCATTAGAACAGCAACCGCCGAATTCCTGCTCTAGAACCACAGGCCTTTTAATATGGCCTGTAACCCCACACGGACCAGAGCCGTACCACAGACTACGGGAAATACTTCCACACGCGCCGCCCCTCATGACGCGTTCCCCGAACACAAGACGAGGACGGCCCAAGCGGCTAATGGATCCTCAGTACGGCCCGGGGTGGAGAAAAGGAATGTTGGCCGGGGCGCACCCTGAACTCCTTCCACGGCTGTCGTTAATGGTAATAAGACACTCGGAGGTACAGGCCGGCTTCCAGGCAGCCTGAAGTGTTTTAAAAAGTAAAGGGTTTTAAAGTCCCCTAAACACCCAATAAAAGTGCGGTGCGGTGCCACATATCGTCCCGCTGGCTGCACTTCCCGTCCCGATAATGAGCGCGCTCAGTTAGGGCCCCGGCTACCGACAGCGCGGCCCCTGTACCCTCGTTCGCCAGCGACATCTGCCTTAGTGACACGAAGAACCAAAGACCCGCATGGAACTGGAGGAACCACATAGACGGGCCGGCGCAGCCTACCGGGGGGGGGGGGGGGGGGGGAGGAGCCGAATCGCTGCTCAGGATCAGGTGCGGCAGCCACCCAACTTTGGCATCTCAGTCAAGGGGTAACATCTGTGAGGCCCATAAGCACCACCTTTATAACACATGGCAGGGAAGCATGATTGTGTGGAAGCACAAAGACTACATTTCCCACGATCCCCCTCGTCAACCAGCTTCTCTTGTACTGGATATCATTTACCATTGCAGTACAGTACTAAAATCTTTAAAAGAAATGCATGATGGGCACTTTCAATACTTGTAAACTAGCCACCCGAATCATAACCCTAAATAGTAAAACCTAAAATAAGTTTAAGAGCAAGCTTGCCGTCCGCGGTTATACACAAACAGTTCATGCGTTTACCGGCAAGATAACCTGTCTCCAAGTGTGCGCACGGGGCGGGCAGCGAATTTAGAAACGCACTGATAGCGGGATGGCGGAGGCGAGGCACATCATCCAGGTTTCATCGGAAACACGGGGAAGCGAGCAGACCGCGGCAAAGCAAAAAATGCTGACATGCAGTAGCACTAAGGACGCGGGACGGTGTGGAGCAGTGTTTACGTGGAGGAGAAAAAGAGTTAGAGCACAACTAAGCATTTCCAAGAAGATTTTAGCGCCTGATCTCTGCACTCAGCAATTTGGAGGAACTAATTCTGGCATCAAGATGAACACACACACTTGCTAGAGGAAGCCCCCCCACAGGTCTGTAAGTTCTTGGGGGGGGGGGGGGGTGTTTGTCCAGCTCAGAGAAACAGACATGAGTTTGCAGTCCAACAGAAACGAGAACTGAGTGTTGTGAAACCCAGCTGAGCAAGTTCTGTCAGCCTTACTGGACTTTTCTGCTGTGCCCTCAGCATGAACTGGTGTACAGGTGTGTGTGTGTGTGTGTGTGTGTGTGTGCAATGATAATATGCTTGTACAACCAGATACTTTGGGCTGATGAGAGACTTATTTCCACTCTGTTTATCCATTCATTTATTCAAAACCGAAGGAGACTTCAGCTTTTCCCCAAGGTGGCTAGCTTAGCGGATAAGGAGCCGGACTGGTGCTTCACTGCTTGTTTAACTGGGAGATGAGCAGAGCCCACTGCTGTAGCAGAGATGGAGGAATATCTAATGCCTGTTGTGACTTGTATGCACAGGTAAGTCATTATCATTTATGAATATAAAAACCCCCAGAATTCCCTCCCCTACGCCCCTGACCGGCGAAACGCCACCTCCGACTGCATTCGCTCCAGCTACACTCCTTCACCCGCCTTTCCAACGGGCTCTCCTCCAGTCTTTTTATAGGCTGAAAAACTACAGCCGTCACCGTAGCAACACTGTGTACGTGGGTGGGTTTTAAGTATATCCCTTCTGTGATATGGGGGGGGGGGGGGAGACTGAGAAACAAGGATACACTGCACGCTCCCCCCACCAGACACCAGACACAGCATCTATACCAAAATCCGGAACTGGAGAAACGTGAAACGAGCAAATACAAACAGTCTGTACATCCCACAGGTGCTAAGAGGTTAGCGTCCATAAGGGTGTGGGGGGGGGGGTTCAAAAGTCTAATGCAAAGCCACGTTCCCCAGGGCAAGACACACCAGCCAAGGGTGACGCACAGGCTGTCGCTACAGTGCCTCCCCAGGGATGTGGCCAGCGAGCTCACATTCATGCCGCTTACACAGCCCGGTGTTTGCAGAGCAAGTTCCGGTTGACCACGCGAGACCCCAACTGCACGAAGGCCGGCCCCCGAAGACGTGCGGCCGCTTCCGTTTACCCAACGCAGGCACCTACAAGGCAATGACCAAGAAGCCAAGCCAGCCCAGAGAGGTGGCACTGACTTCCCATATCTACCACGCCAAACACTGCAGCCTGACTATTCATCCCCAAACTTTTAAGGGAATCTCAGCCAACACAAGCGCCTTAATCAAGGCTATGTGTGTAAGAGTGAACACCTGGTGGACACATGTGGAGGTCACCTGATCAGCATGGTCATGGACTCTGAAAATCACTTCCTGTGCCCAGTAAGAACCTTCCAGTAAAATGGACACAAATAAGTTGACACCTCCTGCAACCCTTAAGAGTCAAGCTGACAGTTCAGTTTTAGGCTTTTAAGCTGTTTGAGTAACACCTTTCAGTCTCGGATGAACCATGGCTTTGAACTTGCACTGTACCAGCCTTATCAACACAGTGTTTCCCAATTCAGTACTCAGTGACCCACAGTCGGTCCATTTTGTTGCTCAGCAAAAAACGTGCACTGTCAGTGGGCCCCCATGGACTGGGATGGGAAGCACACTTCTAATCCGCCCTCCACTCAAAAAAATTAAAAATAGGCTACACATGGACAGTCACTTCACTCAACCAGTAACAGGGGCCAGCTAAGGGCTCGCGAGCGGACTGGCCGGAGAATCACAGGAACCAAAACCGTCCCGCACATGTGCAGCTGCAGCAGTGGACAGATGGGAAGCTATATTTTAAGCTACATTAGTCAATCCGGATTAGAGTCTGCCAAGCAAATTCTCATAAAAATAGAAGCAGCAAGCATGAGCAGGACGGGCAGAGGGGATATCCGACTAGGCGGCGGCGATCTCAGCCTTCACTGCGATCTCGGCGATCCTTCACTGCGATCTCGGCGATCCTTCACTGCGATCTCGGCGATCCTTCACTGCGATCCTTCACTATCACGGAGCAGCCAAGCTGGACAGTGGCTGGCTGATATTTACATGGGGGTGGGGGCATGTTTCAGCTAAAGCAGAAACTTTGTTATAATGGAAAAAAAAAAAGTGTGGAGGGACCAAAGCAGATGAGCATGCAAGGTAATAACGTAAATTACTGGCACATCCGCCCAGGGCTGGGGGGCACGTTTGGTGCCTTTGAGAGAGGTGACAGCCCCAACGCGAGCTGCAGGACTCACCTTTGTAACACAGGACGCCCCCGGGGGTCACCAAAGGTCTCAGCGCACTGATATCCTCACTTCCCTTTTACAAAAGTATCTCGGAATTAGCAAACGCAGCCAGATGCCGACTCATCCTCAGCCCCTGATTTTACACACCCGTAAAGCACGTTTTCGTCACTGCACCCCCTACCCTTGCCACCTCACATCACTGTCATACATCTGATCCGATGTGAACAAGAGGAGGGGGAGGAGAAAGAGGCTCCACTCTGCCACTACACATAAAAAGATGTATTAGTACTCGTGACGCGAAAGGCACGCGGAACTTTCCAGCCGCTCTGTAGCCGGGGGCAGCGTGGCAACGTGAAGAAGGCACGTGGCACAGAGAACGACGACGACGACGACAGCCGCCCCGTGGCGCGTTTTCAAAGGGCAATGAGGCAGACAGGGTGCGGAGATCGCCGAACATGTGCGGCACGACACAGGAAACGGGAATCTCGCATCCGGACCGTGGAGCAGCCCCAGAGGAGCAGCCCCAGAGGAGCAGCCCCAGAGGAGCAGCCCCAGAGGAGCAGCCCCAGAGGAGCAGCCCCTCGCTCACTTGCGGCGAGGCAGTGGGCGGTCCAGGAGCAGCATGCAACTGGTCGTTTTGATGAGCCCGCCGAGTGGTGCGGCGTTTGGTGCGGGATGGAGCCGGGGGTGGGGTACGTACCGGAAGGCTTCCATCTTCGGAGGGAGGACGCATGTCTCGTTGAGGATAAATGCCGACGCCTTGCACGGCGCCGTCGGGTGGAGCTGCATGGCTGGCGGTCCCCGGCGATGGCAGCGTGCCTCGATCACGCTCCCCCGTTCATTCTGCTTTCACCCCGCGTCTCACCGCGCACACTCGCTCGCTCACACGCACACGACTTCGCACGCTCCTCAACGCATCCGCGATTCATCGCTCAGCGGCCGCCGCCAGTCGACGGTGCCTCCTCCATGCTCCTACCGCAGAGTGCGGACCGTCGCCGTGGCGAAGGGTATCCTGGCAACAGGCAACCAGTCCTCACAGTTGTCGAGGGATCACATTCAAGGGAGATGAAAAGCACAGTGCAGTCCCCTTTCAGTGCGAGTTTCCCATCGTTCTGTCTCTTCACAATCAGCGTTTTTTTAAGCCTTTTCGTTAACACGTATTCAATCAGATTCAGCAGGTGTTACACATGCAGCAATGCGGGGAACCGTTCACGGCAAAAATCTCCAGACGCTACATTTCCATGCAACCGACGAGACGAACAGCCAAGAAAAACAAGCCCCGCGGTCGGATCCGCTGCGAAAGAGCATGCTAACGCTGCCCACCACAAAAACGCAGCCTGATAACTCCGCCTCCACCCACCCCTTAAACAGGCGCCAGTCTACGAAAGGGTCCTAGATCTCTCCCATTCCCAAAGTGCTATGGCGGGCTCTTGTTGCCACGGCAACAACAAGCAAACAGTCACCCCCGAGCCTCGGGGCAATAATAGAGACCTAAGGGCGGCACGGCAGGGCCATAGACACGGGCGTCACCCACGAGGGCAGTGAGCGCAGTGGCCCCGATTGTCTCTAATGAGCTCTCAAAGGGCAGCACTGGCTACTGCAAGCAACCCTACGAGGCAGATCCCTTTAAAGGAACGGAGGACGGATGAGAATGCAGATGAGCACTGGCAGTGGAAGAGCTGCCAAAGCGTACCTCGGTGCCATATGCCGGCGGGACCCCGATATGAGACAGACGCTGTCTGTATAACACCTACAGAAACACGCGATGGATCGCGCTTCAGCCGCGGAGATTTATGCCTGGCATTCAACAATCGGTGAGTCCGCAATAACCATACGATGCGATGGCGGGAAAGGACGAGGGAGCAAGAACACAGTGATGAATTACGCAGCGGCAGAGAAAGATACAGAACTGCATGGGTTTGTGGAACAAAACCCCAAACACTCAAGCACACCTGCTGGGGAGGTGAAAGGTCAAATACCGTACTGTGGTCAAACTTTTGATAGCTGGGAGAAGGACCAGCGAGTCAACAGCAAGGGTGCAGATGGTATTGATGGGTAACCAGCATGCGCACAAGACTGACAGGCAGGCAGCAAGGGGGCAGGGGGTGGGGGCTCAGGCAGACTCACTCTACAGGAACGCCTGCCTCTCAGCCACTTATGAGCCCCCCCCCCACCCAAAGGGGTGTGTATGTGTGTGGGGGGGGGCGCAGCTTCTGACTCAATTAACACATGACAGATTGCACACAGGAAGATAAGGCACTGTGCGGATTCATTCTGAACACCACCCCCCCCCCCCCGTCCGTCCGTCCACCCGCCCATCCATACAACGGTAGAATAAATGCACCATTCCCAGCACTGCCAGCATTCCCAGTATCGACAAAGTGGCAGACAGCAGGGATCACACTGGTTCCCATTCCAATGAACTACTGCCAACGCAGCTTTCATGAAGGAACAAATGGTTTGAAATTAAAGGTGGTAATTCAAGAGCATTAACGGCACCTCCAAAGTGGCCTCGGGATTAAGATGACACTATCGTGGACATCTAAGCTACTAATTTCAGACAAAGAGGAACCAGAATGGGAGGGGGTTAGGTTTAGGGGGATCTGGTGGCTTTAAATATCACAATAAAATGTTTTACACATCTACAGAAGATCAGACACAGATGTGCCAGACATAGATATGGGTAGCAGAACTGTCAAGTGCACACATTTTACTTCCTAGACTTCCTGTACACACCAGAACAGACGTACCCCTAGTGGCAGGGAGGGTGAGAGCATGACGCTGCTCCCGGCTCACACTGGCGTCCTCCTGACACTTAGGACATCTGCGAGGGAGAACAAAACCTGGTTTTTGGACAGAAACCCCCAACTGGCCTGGACACTAGCAGCTGTCCTTAGCAGCTGAGGGTTCGGTGACTCAGTGGCCCTGGAGAGGGGGGAGGGTCTGAGGGCGAATGAAACGGTAAGAAAGACCTCAGCGAGCCACAGAAACACTAAACACTACAATCTCTCCAGCTCAGCACCGCCGAGTGGAAAGAGGGGTGGGAAAAAAACCACACACACACACAAGCACACACACCATACGGGGGTGAGTCAGCCTGCCTTGGTGGGGATCGCGGGGACGCTGAGGTCGATGAGCAGAGGCCGTGTGCCTGTCCCTGCCAGGTTAGCACATTCATACTCATCCCAAAAGTAGAGGCCTTAGAGTTTAGCCATTTAAAAATACATCAGAAAAAGTGACTTAAAAGAAATGAAAGAAATTAAGGGGTTTCTGGTTTATGGAGGAAACTCATCGAACTTAAACATCAACCCCATTTCATCTGTCCACTACTCAATGACAGCATTCTAAACACTCCAAAATCAATAAGAGACCTTAAGTGACCCTGGGAGGACGGATTCAATCAAGACAAAGATGTCATTGAGCAGGATGAAGCATCTGGGACCAGCAAGGCTCAAAGCAGGGGGGGAATTTAAAAAAAAAGGGCGATCTGGAAGATTCCATGGAGAACACGCACGTACACAATTTCAATCTGCTGCGTCATCTGACCATCCAAAAATGAGTGATACACAAGCAAGTGAGGAAGCTGAGGATTCTCCCAGCCCTCCGGCTGCATGGCTCACTGCATCACTGCATCCAGTTGCGTCATAAGCAGCATCTCAGACCCTGTTACGGGGTATTTGGGAAGTCAGGGGTGTGTACACACGGACACTCTCCGGAAGGCACCGGAATCACGCTCCTATATATATATATATTATTTAATTTTTATTTATTTTTTTTAGAACTGCAGCAGAATTAGTATCAGCGCCGCGAGCAGCCGGCCCATGCAGAGCTGCGGACACAGCCCAGCTTGCCTGACTGCATGGCTTCAACAGTTACCTAATCTCGGGGGGTAAATTAAAATGTTGACAGCGACCGGTTTGGCACCAGCTCCCATTCGACGATCCAGCCAGCTGAACTCAGCATGCGCCGGAGAACCCAGAGACGAGCGGCGGTAATGTTAGTCACGCGCACACAGGCATCCCGTGCTCCCCCTGCAGGCCTGGGGCGGCAAAGCGAAGGACTGTTTTTTTTTTTTTTTGTCACTAGCTATTTGTGAGTCCGGCTCAGGGAAGCTGGGCTGGCGGCAGCCAGTTTGGAATGCGTGCGCCGTAACGTCACCAAAACCATGGGCGCCCATGGAAGCGGGTCTAAACCGGACGACGTCCAAGTTTCAGGTTATTGTAGACACTAAGGGACAGCCGCCATGGAGGGGGGGGGGAGAATTCCTGAGCAAAATCACTTACAGCTCCTCATGGCAGGAGTACTTAATGGTCTCGCATTTCTTCATCGGATGACAAGGAATTCTGGTCAGAGGAATCGCACCAGCCAGCCAGTGGCTGAGCCTGCCTCTCATCAGCTATTCAAGTCCTTTGTGCCACTGCCGGGGAGGCCAACATTCCAGCATTTTCCACAACTTTACTCACTCCACTAACTCAAACCTTACACTGCCATTCCACTGTGGGGGCGGAGCAACATAGAGACACTCCCTGTATCACAAAAAATATCACCGAGAAGTCAAAGGTTGGTGCAGTACAGGGTGAGGATCAGTTTGCTATGACAGAAGACCTTTAAACTTAATATGACAACCTTCTAAATAAAACACAAAATAAAACTCAGCAAGAACTAAACGCAATAAATTTCTGGAAAACTCTTGGTTGTGCAGTCTAACTGAATGTACACTAAGTAGGGTAACTGTCATCATGGCTGCACTGGCAAGACTACAATTCCCATGAGGCTATAGGGCGAGCGAGAGAACAACCATTAACTAAACCAGGGGTGACAGTCAAGGAAAGGACTTGCACCTTTTCACAGATCCTCCAGGACAGGTTTTCAACCATACTTACAGGCTTATCCTTGAGGCGTGGAACTCCGGTAAGGTTTCAGTGATGTACCAGAGCCCGTAACTATAAGCAGACATTCAGAAACAGATGTCAGCTGTGTCACCGAGCTTTCAGGACTAACGATACGGAGGATGCAGCTAAGCCTCACACGGGAGCTGTGGTGCGGCCCCGTCCTTCTGCGATCCCCGACCTCCCACTGGACTGCTAAGCATCGGGGGGGGGGGAGACTTTAGACAACGAGGGTTCTGCAAACCACTTCTTTTGTGTGGCGTGCAATGTTCCACCGTCAAAAGAAAAACTGAGCCGGGAAGCCTTCATTTAAAAGCCTTTCCCGTGTGACCTCCTGTGGAGACCTACAGCCGTGAGTCTGCTTGGAATCCCAAAAACGCGGAACTCCGTATTAGACACGAGAAGCGGATGAATCACCCAGGCGAATCTATCACTCGCAACAGATTTCGCGTTCAAACATTTTAGAGGGAATATTCACAGCAGAGGAGCGGCCTGGGATTGCAGAGGTAGACGCACACCACCGCGGCACATATTAAAGGGACTCTCTCAAGACTGATGACACACGAAAGAAAAACCGGGCCGCCCAATGGGACGGACTTCCGAAGACCTGCAAAATGGCTCCTGGCGACATCCTGGGGCCTGACGATTTGGTGACAAACGTTTCCTTTCAAAAGAATGCGGCTGCCCGACAGCTCACTTCAGCAGGTGAACTTTTAGGGGTTCGTGAAAGTGGATCTGTGCACTATTGAATTTTAATGCCTGCATAACCCAGTTTCTAAGATTCCTGTAGGAGAAAGAATGAGCGGTGATCAGTTCCCCGCTGCTCGAGCAGCGTTGAGTTAGGGGACGTCACCAGGGTCCAGGTACCTGACAGACAAAAAAAAGCAAGAGTCACCGTGACGTATGTCACTTGCATGACAGTCTGGAAACAAGAAGCACAGAAAGCAAAGCACCGACTCCCTCCAAACCCTGGGGGCCTGAACTTCAGCGAGGCCATCAAAAAAAAGACATGACAGCACCATCTATCCATGGGAAAGGCAACTGATGGCGGCTCTTTGGAGCGAACGACCACACGGCTACACAAAATCCACGGCTAAGACCTACAGAACGGGACCAAGAGCCTTGAGTTTCAAGTTTCGGTCGGAAAAATTG